TTGTCCAAAAAGAAATTGCTGGGCAGGTTGCCACATACCTGTAATCCCAGCACTTGGGAGGCTGAAGCAAAGAGAATCTCTGGAGTTCAGGGCCAGCCTGGGTTGTATAGCAAGACCCTGTCTTGAAAAACAAAACAAACATCAAAAGGACTGGGATGTGGTTCATTGCAAAGGCCTGGAGTTCAGCACCAGTAGAGCAAAGCCAGCCAACTGATCTTGGGCATCATTTTGGAATCCTCTCTCACATTTAAGCAGCCAGCAAGCCCTGCTTCTGCAGGGGCTCCAGTCACCTGTACCTTCAGTGCCTCTGCCCTCATTCATTCCTTGACATTCTTCTGGCTGAGTTAAATTATACTAAGGGATGGAGATTTAGCTCAGTGGTTCTGTCATGAGTTTGATACCCAGTACCAATAAATAAGTCTCCTATGGCAGGTGTGGTGGCGCATGCCTATGATCCCAGTACTTTGGAGACAAGAGGTAGGAGGATCTCCGTGAGTTCAAGCCTAGCCTGGGCTACATACTGAGTTCAGGGCCAGCCTGATCTATAAAATGAGACCCTGTCTCAAAAAACCAAAAGAAATTAAAAAAAATTTTTAAAAGTCTCCTTAATGCTCCCTTTGCTTGGAACGTCCTTAATTTTGCAAAATTCTTTCTCTGAAGTGAAGCACTTCTTTATCTGTGCCATTAGGTTATGTCAGTGTTTTTCTGGAAGAAAATGCATGTTATCTTAAGGAGTGTATCTCATTCATCTTTATCATGCCCAAAGCACCTCCTAACCATGTAGCGAGCATTAGATCAGAGTTTTGCATGCATGGGTCCATTCACTAGGAGTACAATCTGAACAACAGAACTATTCATAAAGCATTCAAACCACCATCTCTTCTAAGAAATTAACATTCAAATAATAGTATTAAGAGGGCAGCATTTATTCAATTGACTGGGTCAAAGAAAAAAATGTTTCACATATATTTCTTGTTCCCTGTTGTACTTCACAGCCATAGGCTTGTAACTGGTCTCTGAGGATATTTTACATCGAGCACAAATGGATTATGATAGGTTGTTTTGATTTCCTGTTGTTATAATACTGTATTACATACATTATTTTATATCATTTTATGTTACATACACATTTTTATATATTATATGTACATTTTATATGTTATAAACATAATTTTACAGAGATCTGAGACAGAAATTGCTAATGGCAGCTGGGCATGGTGGTGCACACCTGTAGTCTCAGCACTTGGGAGGCTGAGACAGGAAGGTCACCAGGAGTTTGAGGCCACCCTGGGCTACACAGTGAGTTGAGGGCCTGCACTACAAAGCAAGACCCTGTCTCAAAAAACAAAAGTTCCTAAAGGTAAAAAATACTATGGGGTTTGAAATCATACAGATTTTGGTTTTAATCCCACCAATATAATTTAGGAGCCATGTGCTATTGGGCAGATTAGTTGACCTGATCTTATTCCAAGTGGGTGTAATAAATGACCACAGTGCATAATGAATGCCTAACAAAAAGAAAGCCTTATTTTTACCTTTTTATTCTTTTGTCATAAACTGCCACCAGTTTTCAGAAGCACAAATTATGTGTTATGGTTCAAATGATTTGCTCAGGCCATTTCTGTCCAAATACAGTATAATCAACCTGCATTTTTAAAATACAACATTTATTGGTACATTTTGGGCATTCATAATGATAACACTCATCATACGGAATTTGCATCTGTACATGGTATATATCCTGCCCCCTCTTTTTCCTCATGGCCCCCTCCCCTCCCTATGTACAAAAGTTTTGTTTCCATTTTCACTGTTTTTCTTGTCCCTTCTTCCCCTGCCCTTGTTCCCCTTCCAATTTGAACATTTTCTTCCCATTTCCCAATATCTGTTATACATTTCAGTCCTTATTTCCACTTTGTTTCTCACACCAGAGAAACAATGAGGTATTTAAACATGTGTGTCTGATTTACTTCACTTAACAGTATGATCTCAAGGTCCATCCATTTAGCTATAAATGTCTGAAGCTCATTCTTCTTTATGGCAGAGTAGTACTCCACTATAAAAAACCACATCTTTACTCACTTGTCAGTTATGATCATTTGGGCTGTTTCCAAGATTTAGCAGTTACAAACTGTGCTGCTATAAACATGGGTGTGCATATAACACTATGGTATGATCCTTTTAATTCTTTCAGGAAGATACCAAGAGGAATAGTTGGGTCAAACAGAACCTCTATTTGAGAAGGGTTCCTTTTTCCCCACAGCCCCACCAACATTTGTTATTGATTTCTTGATTATGGACATTCTTTGTGGAGTGAGATGGAATCTGAGTTGTTTTAATTTACATTTCACAAATGATCAGTGATGTTGAACATTTTTTCATATATTTATTTGTTGTTTCTACTTCATCTGAGAAGTGTCTTCATTTCAGATGCCCATTTTTGGATTGGGTCTTTAAATTTTGGGGAGGTCTGATTTTTTTGAGTTGTTTAATAGTCTAGATAATAGTCCTTTGTCTGATGAATAGCTGGTAAAAAATTTTTCCCACCCTGTGGTTTGTCTCTTCACTCTGTTGGTGGGTTCTCTTGCTGTGCAAAAGCTTTTTTTTTTTTTTTTGGTACTGGGGATTGAACTCGGGTCCTTGCACTTGCACAGCAGGCAGCGAAACCACTGAGCTAAATCCCCGGCCCCTGCAAAAGCTTTTTAATAAGATGAGGTCCCAGTTGTTGTTTCCTTGTAGTACTTCCCATGTGGGCTGGGGTTTTGTTCATGAAGTCTTTGCCTACTCTTATGTCCTCAAGTATCTACCTATTCTCTCTTCCAGCAGATTTAGTGTTTCTGTTTTAATATTTAGATCTTTGATCCATTTTGATTTTAGTTTAGTGCATGGTGATAGATATGGGTCTAGTTTTAATCTTTGGCAGGTTGAAATCCAGTTTTTCCAACACCATTTATTAAATAGGCTATCTTTCCTCCAATGAGGGTGGTTGGCTCCTTTGTCAAAGATTAGGTGGCTGAGTATGTCTGGAGTTGTTTCTGCATCTTCTAGTCTGTTTCACTGATCTTCAGGTCTGTTCTTTTACCAGTACCATGCAGCAACCCCCGCAACAGGGATCGAACTCAGGACATTGCACTTGCAAAGCAGCTGCAGCACCACTGAGCTAAATCCGTGGCCCCACCACGCTGTTTTTATCACCATAGCTTTGTAGCATAATTTCAGGTCAGGGATTGTTATGCCCCCTGCCTTGCCTTTGTTGCCCAGAATTGCCTTTGCTGTTCTAGGTCTCTTCTGGTTCCAAATGAATTTTAGGATTTTTTTTCTAATTCTGTGAGATGCGCTGTTGGAATTTTGATCAGGATTGCATTAAATCTGTATAACAATTTTGGAAGTATGGCCATTTTCACTATCTTGGTTCTTCCTATCCAACATCAAGGGATATCTTTCCATTTTCTGATATCCTCTACGATCTCCTTTTTCAGAATACTGTAGTTTACAGTGTAGAGTTCTTTTACTTCCTTTCTTAGATTGATTCCTAGGTATTTTATTTTTTTGGATGCTATTGTGAAAGGGGTTCTATAATTTCTCAGAGAGTCTGTTATTCGTGTACAGGAAGGCTTTTTTTTTTTGGCTGTTGACTTTTAAATGTTGACTTTCTAACTGGGTACACCACTGAATTTGGTTATCAAATCTAAAATCTTTTGGTGGAGTTTTTGGGGTCTTCTATGTAGAGTATCCTGTCATCTGCAAATAATAATTTAACTTCTTCC